GATGAATTTATTTATATTTTATAGTAATTATTAATGTAATTTTTAAATACAAATAACTTTCTTTATATATATTTAATTATTTATATTTATCATCAGTATGATTTAAATTTGTATATACTTTGACTATACAATCCATGATATATGAATTTATAGGCAATCTCAATTTTAATCATTTTAACATAATAATCTCTATTTCCTATTAAAAAAATTGCAATTCAAATCACTTAAAATTTGATTGGATGATGTGCAAAATTGATTTAATGGTTTCAGTTTTTAATATTTACCGATTACTTTCGCTATATATGAACGCCCTCTTCTTTCCAAAATCCAACTGGCTAGCTATAAGGCTAGCTCAACTTAATTTTCCATAATGGTAGTAGTAGCAGCATTGCAAGTCAATTTTACAGCATATATTAAGACATATGCATGGGCAGTTGTAATTGCCATATCACGATAATTAATATAATGAAAGAGGCTTGGGGATAAAGTATATAAAAAGGCAAGTATGTCATAAATGCATCTATACCAGTATTTTACAATTTGGAGTTCTTGACCTGTCCATTCTTTCACGAGCATTATTCATAGTCCCTGTAGCCATTGACTCGGTGAGAGTTGTCGGTGTCTAGTGAGAGTTTTATCTACACTACGGTGAAATAAATAAATGCGTAACAAAGTCATTGATAATTCGGTACTTCATAACACTTGAAATATATACTTGCTAACAATGAAACCGAGGTCTCTATATATAATGAAATAAGGTTCTCTAACGTACAAATTTTATATAATATTATAATAATTTATATGACTTTTTATATAAAAAAATTGAATTTTTAAAAATAAATTAATAAATATTAATTATCTTAATAACAATAAAATCAATCAAGATGTTATATAAAAATTATGTATAAATCTTGCATATAATACAAGTTAATTCTAACTCTGCTATAATAGATGTATAAGAACACAATATATAATTACTCATACCCAATATAGTCATTAAAAATGACTTATAATTTACTCATTAATTTCACGAGATTGGTATATATATATATATATATATATAGCAATAATCAACATATATATCCTAGAGAAAATAGCTAGAGTCGGTGAAGCTAGAGACTAGAAAGATAAAGGGCAACGGGGTCTAATAATTTTTTTAAAAGAAAAAAAAAAAGGAAAAAAAAGGGCCGAAAAGGAAATGGAAAATTGCTTGTAACGGC